AGACCAAGCCTTCACAGAATCATAACTAATAATGCAAGCGATAACGAATCCTAGCGATAATAATGATAGTCCCAGACCGGACAGGCGAACGCAATCGATCAGTCGATACAGAGAAAGTCGGAACAGGTCTGGAAAGAGCATGTTAGCGGCAGTGACAAGATGTACCCGCAGCCGAACGCACCTAGCAGCGTTCCAAACGCACATGGTCAGGCAATACGGACACCCCCACCACGAACAACCTCGCCTCGCACGCCCACTCCGCGCGTTCGGACGCCCCTCACCTCGCATACCGTCTCCTCAGAACCCACCCATCGCCGTCCTTTCGCCCATCGCTGTCCTTTCGCCCATCGCCGTCCTTTCGCCCATCACCGCCCTTTCACCCATCCCCGTCCTCCCGCCCATCGCCAAAACACGGTACAGCGCATTCGCCTCCTCGTACCGCGCGTTCCGCAGGCTGAAGTGCATCATCTCCGCCACGTCGACCTCGTCCGCCGGGTCCACGATGCCGTGCTTGATGAGCGAGTGGTAGAAGCGGCAGAGCTGGGGGAGGGTCGGGGTTAGTGGGGATGAAGGATGAAGTAAGGCATGGGGTGGGCGGTAGGTGAGATGAAAAGCGGGCGTTAGGAGAGATGGACTAGGCGACATGATAGGTGGAGTGGGCGACAGGAGAGGTGAAGCAATGGACATCGGGTGATGCTGAAGGAATGGGCATGGGGTATCGAACAAGCACTTTATCCTCCCGCATCCCGAAGCACTCCAACACTTCATCGATCACTCGCACACTTCACCACCCCATATAAAAAGCCAAACACTCACATGCTGCACCCCCTGCGCGTGGGTATCATCCCCCGTCGCCTCCCTCTCGACCCCGTCCAAATAATTGATCGCCTCGTGCACGAACCGCCCCAGCACCTCCACCCGCACCACGTCCGCCACAGTGCCGTTGGGCGTCGGTGTGGTATCGCGCAGCAGCCGGCCCATCAGGTCGAGCGTGGGCAGGCGCGGCGCGAGCTGGGCGATCACGCCGAGGATGGGGGCGGGGAGGTTATGGTTGTTGGTGGAAGCAACGGTGTTGTTGGCATCCACGGCGTTGTTGGGATCGGCTCCCTTGTTCCCGGTAGTCTGATTGCGAGCGAGCATGGCGACGAGCAGGGGGTGCGCGACGACCGGGTTGTTTGACACGAGCGGCGCGATGTCGGACGAGGTGAGGACGCCCGCGGCGACGACGCTGGATATCTCTCGCGTGAGGTCCTGTGAGCAGTAAGCCACACATCTTGGACTCGATCGCCATTCCACGCACCCGCTGTTCCGAAAGCGTCAGGACGCGCTCGCGCGCGGCGACGACCAGCTTCAAGGCTCGACCAACATCGCAGTTGCGTTGCGCGTCATCCGGGTCCGCCATCCATTCGTCGTACCACGGCGGTCGTTCTTCCTTCGCCTGCCTGGCAGGTCCGGAGGCGTAGATATAGCCATCTCTGGATCACCGTCAGCGAGGTAGGGCATACAGCGCGGTTACGCACATGTCGTGCATATGGATGTACTGATTCTCGTCGAGGTTGAGATTGTACGCCCTGAGTTGCTCGGGCAGCGGCGAGCGGGCGAGCGTGCTGGGCGAGTATGGGCCGATCTGTATACACGGTGAGGGGAGAGGCGCATGCGGAGGAAGACGGCAACGGACATCGTTCCCATCGCCCTTCAGGATCTTCCACAGCACCCAGACCAGCTGCTCGTCCTGGGAGACGACCTGGGGGCCGAAGAGCGCGCAGGCGTTATCGCGCTCCCTCCTGAACGTGACGTACAGCGCGGACTTGAACGGGTTGATGGAGATCGGGTGCGGCGCATACAGCGAGTACAGGATGAAGGCGACCAGGATGCGCTGCGCAGGCTGCAATCGGGGGCGCCGTCAGCGTCATACAAGCGATGCATATAGGTACTCGCACCTCCGCTGGCGGCTGCTGCTCAAGCAGCGGCAAAAGGACATCGAGCGCGACCTGGAAGCGCGCCATGGGCTGGACTATATGCGCAAAGGCCTGCGCCGCCGTCGAGCACGGCAGCGAGTACGCGCGCTGCAGGAGGTGGCCAACGGAGGCGCGGACAGGATCAACGCCGCCAGAGTGAAAGATGGGCGACGGCGCCATCGCGGGCATCGTCGACATCGGGGAGATGGGCGATAGATACGACTGCATGGTCGCTGCTCGTCGTCGACGGCGTCGAGCGCAAGCACTTACACTGATTACCTTTTTGGGACCAACCACCAGGGACCAACGGCCGGGCCGCGATGGTCTCAAACAAATCCAAACAAGAATCCAAACTCAACACGCACGACCGTTGAACGTTGACATATGGACGGTCTCGAAAGACTTTGGGCATCTTATGTCATTTTCGGGTTATCAGAGGAGTGTCTAGCTCGCAGCACCTTGCAGTCATACGTTTCGTACGTGGAAATGCAAGTGGCAAGTTCCGAGGCGCCCGTCGCGCCCAGACCGGCCTCTCGCATCGACGCATCTTGCTCATGCCTGCGCAAACAAGTCGAACGACTTCCATGGGCCATGCCACCATATTAGGTGAGGTGATCACAGACGCGTGGGCTTCTCTGACTCGCGGCGCGTCTCGATGGCTCATCGGCAGCCCTTACATATATGTGCTTGCCGCACTTGGTTTCACGGCCTTTTCCTCGGCTACTGCTCTCTTGACAGCTAGCGCAGCTGCCTCTGCCAGCCTAACCCGCACCGCACTCTTTAAGATTGGACTGACGCGCCCTCGCTCATCTCTGACCGGCTGCTGCCTCGCCCTCACAGCTTACGTCTTCCTGGGCATGCCCACCAGCCACGTCGACCTCTTTCCCGAGCACGTCTTCCTCCCGGTGCGTCATTCTCTCCATGTAATTTTCATCCCTCTCGTCCCCAGCTCAAACGCTACCGAGTCCTTCTTACGCGTATCCAATGTCCTTTTTGCGCGCATCCTATGTCTCTTTACCACATCCTATGTCCCCCTCCTCGTACCCTTGATGCGCGCTGCTCATCCGATCGCCACACATTCCCTCCCAGTTCCAGCCCCTCCTCGTACCACATTGAACGTCCAACTTACGTCCCTCCCCCTCCACCAGGGAGACCCTATATCAGAAGAGTCCGGCCTCCGCGAGGCGCGCACCCACCTCACCCTACACGCCATCATGTTGCGCGCGCATTCTATGGCGAAGGAGTCCTGGGGAGACTGCAAGCCGTCGACGGGCGGTGGGGAAACTGCAAGGCGTCCCTGGAACAGAGCATGCGTCCACGGGACAGAGCAGACCGTCCATGGGCCCGCGCAGGGCGACCTGCGCAGAATGCGCACCGTCCACTGACGGAATACCTCGTACTAGACCACCATGGGAACTCATAGACTGTCCGTGGGATCACGTAGGCCGACCATGGGAGGCCGGAAGTCGTCGACGGTGCGTTCTTGAATCATTACCACGTCGAGGTCGAGCTGAACTTCGGTCTTGCAGAGCAGCTACCCGACGAATGGCGCTCTTACCCTTTGAATGAAATCCACGAGGTGCGTGATGCATCCTCGTGTTTCCTGGTACCCTCGTTCCGTCGCTTCCCGACACCTCGCCCATCGCTCCCTGACACCCTTGTGTTTTTTTCGGGAATTTCTACCGTTGCTCCTTCATCTTCCATAACCATACCCTCTATCATTACATGTCCATCTCATCTACTATTTCATTCCACGACCTGATCGCGCCACTCCCATCTCCTTGACTGACGGTCCTTTTTTCCTGACCCCTTTACTGACGGGAGTCTGTAGAAGATCGCTAGATGGGGCGTGAAAACGCACCTGCAGGACGACGACGAGGCCGTCCTGCCGCTTCTACCTTCCCCGGAGGCGTTTGGCGAGGATATGGACCCGTTTGACGCGGCTTTAACGCGTTTGGCGGGAACGATCGAGCGAGGCTGGCGGCCTGGCGATGCTGGAAAGTCGTCCCTCGAAGGCATCCAGGAACCCAACCCGTTCGAAAGGTGCGTCTACCTGCTATGTAAATGTCCGTATTTGCATGATGGCTGATGGCCGCCCCCAGGGCGCCACCGATGCGGACTCCTCTCGGGATGCCTCTGAGACCGACTCCTCAGCTTCAGCGATGGCTCGACATCTCGCGAGTCCTCTCCTCCCCCCTCTATACCTCGCGCAGATCATGGTGGAAGCGCGTCATCAGCTGCGAAGCTCTGATGCACAGGCGACTGGTGCGTGCTTCGCGCCTTGCAATTAGCCGTCCGCTGACTCTGCTTTGCAATAGCGCTATAATCAGCTATGACTACGGTCTAGCTGTTGCTGTACGGCCTCAGCGCTGTTTCTGAAGACCTGCGGCCTCAGCCGTCGCTGCAGGAGACACCTACTTGACAAACCCCACACAAAAATGTATAACGAACAAATTCATTTCATGTATCACGACGCTTCCACAACCCCCCTTCTACCTGTACTCTCGTATATTCCAACATTTACACCATATACTCTCAGGTCATTCTACATCCTATACTTCTGCGCCGTTTCTACTACCACCAACCCGCGGCGTCGCGGTCGTCCTAAACGTGTGCTTGACCGTCCCTTGCCGAGTCCTGCCCCTTGCGCGGCGAGCTAGTCTTTGCCCCTCGTACGGCATTCACGACACGTCGAAGGCTTAGGAGATCGACGGCGAATGGCACAGCGTCGGCGCTGAGGGGTTAGGGCGTCGAGGCGGCGCGTGGCGAGTGGCAGCGCGATATGGGGTCAGTTGAGAAGGCCTTCTCTCATACTACTTACTAGTTTGAAGTATTTCTCGTTACACTCGATTGTAAGTAGAGAAACATGACGGATCGTGTTCTGCATAGTAGATGTATGATTAAGAATGAATCAGGCGATGCTCACGGCAATTGGTATGCGACGGTTCAATCCAAATGGCCAGCTCCTTCTCAGGCCCAGACAAGAAAGTCCTTGTCGTCGGTTGGACGAAAAGAAAAAAAAATATGCTGGGGCGACATCAGTTCCCCACAGCCGACTTGAACGACTGACCTCTTCATAGACGATTTCTCACGTTAAGACATACTAGTGAAGCGCTCTACCACTGAGCTAGCAGGGAATAAGTGATACGCAAGCTCTATGTAATACGGACTAGCTCAATCTTTTCAAATGGGCGCATGAACTCTGCATAGCGGACGTCGCAAGTGCCCTCCAACCTGCTTTTGCCGCTCCGATCAGATCGCGCGAGCTTTACGCTGCAGCGAGTAATCAAGTATGGTAGGCCTGCATCTCGATCGGCCGAGTAAAGTGCCATGGACCCTGGTACTTGCTCGAGAGATCTGCTTAGTGGACAGAGGAGTCGGCAAGGAAGGCAGCAACTCACCAGACAACTTATAGCAATTTTAGGTTTAGTCAAACAAGATGGAAATGACGTCCGAAGCAAGAGAAGTTGCAAGACGGGATATACAAGGATAAAGTTACAGGCCGCATCATACTCCGCTCGAAGGCCGTACATCGCGCCCCCACCACGCGTCTGTCAAGCATAGAAAGCCTTGAACCCGGCGCGCGCTATAAGTAGCTGGCACATGGGCGCGACTGCAAACAGGTCAGAAATATGCTCTCATTCTTGGCAGCAAAGCATATACAGTAATTGCCTATCCAGTCGGAAAATCCTAGGAAAACGACTGCTACAGGATGGAATAGTCCGTGTCATAGATCCAATCTTCCAGAGGCGAAGCTTTGTCGTCATCCGTCTGCGCGTCGCCGGCTTGTTCATGGCGCTCTTGTGTGCGCACGAATCTGAAAACCGGCAGCAGCTCCTCAACCTGGCTCCACTTCTTCTGCCGTATTTTCCCCTCGCGACCCGACTCTTCCAGCTCCGAGTCGGAGTCGGAGTCGTCCGAGTCTGCCTCAGCCTCAGAGGAGGTGATTGAGGCGAGTTTCGGAAAGATGGCGGAGAGGAAGGCCGCGACAACGGGCGCACTTGTGATCAGGGAGTACCGAACGTCAAGATGCGTCAAGCTTGACTGTCGAATGCCGCGCGTGTCGTGCTCTGCATACGTGAGATCCCGAGCGCTGAAGTCGAGGGTGAGGCTATTGAGGACGGGACAGTGCTGCGCGACGTGCACGAGCGCGTGAATGGTAGCTTCGTAGGGCCGATTTCCGGGGCGCGCTACCACCAAACTGAGCGTCTCTAGAAGCGGCCAAGCTCTGGCGAGATCGCTCAACTCGCTATCGCAAACGAGGAAGCCTCCCCAGCACTCCAGGCTGAGGTGACGCAGATTGGAGAACACGTTCAGGTGCACCAGCGTGTCAAAGGCAATAGCGAATGGCCACTCGGCGTCCTCGTCCTCAGCCTCGATATCATCCTCGTTGTAATCACAGGTCTCCCTGATCGTGATGTCGCACAGCGTATTCCATTCGCAGGTCTGTGTGACGGCGACGATGAGCGTTGCCCAGCTATCCCTCTTCTCGGTAAAATAGCATGCGGCGCTGAAAGTATGCAGCTGGAGGGTTGTTGGCACGGCGCGAAGAAGGTTAATAGCGTAATCCATGCTCTGGGGTCGAACGGAGAGGGCACACAATGACGGGAACGCCGGCGCCGAGATCGGCGATACGAGAATGCGGTGTTGCGAGGGGTCATTGATAGAGAGCTCCTGCAGTCTCGGGAATGTCGCTAGTCGCATGAGATCCGTGTCGTCCACATGGGGTACAGTGAGCGACTGGATATTCTCCCAGCGAGTGGCAGCGTCTGACACTATCCTCAGATGTGATAGAGACAGCACCAAAGCTCCCGAGAGTTCGAAAGATTGGACAGCAGGACACAATGCGCGCAAGCGGGGCAGCAACGTCAGCACATTGGAATTATGGGCCGAGTAAGATGTCTGGATGACAAGACGCGCTATTCTGCTGTGCAGGAATAGCAGAATGTAGCCCAAGCTATCAGACCTCGCTTTCCGCCACTCGAATACACGTAGATTCGGGAGAATGGGTGCTGGCAAGCTCAGATGGAGCGCGTCGAGGCACGTTTTGTCTGGGACCCACGTGAGGGATAATTCCTTGACGAGCGACGCGAAGAAGATGAAACGCGTAAGTTCTTCCTGGCAGATGTGGCGAGCCATCGCCTGAGGAAGGTATAAGAATTTCAAGCGCAAATTGTGATCCGAAGACTCACATATTCTAATTTCTTTTTCTTGTTCCGGATGAAGGTGTCCGCCGGCAAGCTGCGCAGCAGAGGACGCAAGCTATCCAGGACTTTCCAGAGAGCTGCAACTGCTTGAGGATACAGCGTTCGGCAGGACCGCGCCAGGGATCCCAAGTCTTTGCGACATTTTCGATGTGAACCGTCTGAGATGACGAACTCGCAGATCAGGGCAATTATTTCGGAGATAGCGAGGCAGCGATGCATCTGGTAGTTTATAATCAAGAGATGTTCGAGTTGGGAAGAAACTCTTTACGCTGTCTTCCACTGGCACGACTGCAGGAATGAGTAAAAGGCAGAGAGGCGAATTTCCGAAACACGTGCTCTGTGACTGTGTGACATTGTAGCTGTTCGCCTAAAGTTCGCGCTTTGCCGAAGATATTCTGTCTTTCTCCCCCTCATGCTGGACACATCCAATCCTCATTGCCAACTTGACTTCTGTAAACAGCTGAAACCTAGGCAGTATTGAGAAGTAGCGCCCGTATGCTGTAAGATGGATATCGAAGCAATGGGCTCGAGGCCCGTCCCGATGGACGCCCATACTTTGATAGACGCTCGACAGATCCCCGCTATCTCCATCGTAACTCAGTGCTCACTCCGCGGCAGATAGCGTGCGTCACCACCTGTCCTCGCACCACAACACCTTTTGAGTTCGTCCAAGTCGCCTTGAGACATCGCTGGCAAAGGCATACTGACCTGCTTTCCTTCGCTCGATAACTCAGCCCGTCCGCGTTCACCCGCGCCACTCTTGATACTTCCCTATTCCTGACACTTCCAGCGCGCACTCCGATGTCGATGCTCCTGGCCCTCCCGTCCTCCCCTACGGCGCTCGATCAGGAGACTGCATCGCTCATCGCCCAGCTCGCTCTCGAAGACCTCGACGAGGCCGCAGATGATCTCGGCGATCAACAATTGGCCTTTGACCTTCAAGCGGAGGTGCTCGAGACGATGCTGAGGGACTTTGGCATAACACCCACCCGGCGAGCCAGGACGCAGCAAGAGCCAACTACGTCGTGCGTAGGATGTCACTACGTTGTGCGCGCATGCTGACTATCAATATAGCACCGCGAATACGGTAGCGCAACCTGCTGCATCAACGAGCGCGAGAGCGGCCATGTCGGGCGCGCCCACGCCGGAACCAGAGGATGACGCCGGCTCAGCGCACGGTGACGCACCCACTCTCGTTCAGTACGGTGCAAGTGCCGGATCGTCAGGATCAGCTCCGATTGGTCTCATAGCTGAGGCGAGCGCGGTAGCTGTGATATCCCCGGTGCTGTCACCATTCTCATCCTCATACTCTTCCTCGGCCTCTTCGTCAGCTTCAGCCTCAACCGCGCGCAATGAAGGAACTTTGTCGTCGAGCAACTTGCTACCAGAGGCACAGCCGGAAGCGCCTGGGCAGCGCAGCCTTCGATTCGTGTTCATGGAGGGCTTTGAAGACCTGGTTCCTGTTTACCAATATGCGTGCGTCAATTATCCGCGCGTCGCAGATATGTAGGCTGACCGGAAAGCAGGACGACCGACGCTCCAGCCGACGACGCCTCTGATCTCGAGTACGATGAAAGCGACGCTGGTCACGCGGCGGCGACTGACAACTTGGGTTCGGACCACAGTCTTGACTTAGCCGAAGAGGTCATAACCCCAGAACTCGAATTTTCGCCGCCTTCGTCTCACGGGCAGCAGAGCTCACTAGAGCCTGATTCGCCGCTGTCTGCGGAGCAGGTTGCGCGGCGTGGTAAACTCGTCGTTGAAAGCCTGATTCAAGCTATGGACGTCGCAGAAGAAGCCGTGACTCGCGCGGAGAGAACGCTGGACCTAGCGGAGCAGTTCGAGCGGGAGGAGTACGTGCTCGCTTCGTCTTCTAGCCAATTTCGCACTCACTCATCTTACTTACAGACATCCGACTCGCAACACTTGTGAAGGTTGCTACGACCTGACGAATTCTACTGACTGCGTCGGCGGTCCATGCGGACACCATTTTTGTAGTGAATGCCTCTCGACACTCGTTTCTTCCGCACTCATGGATGAGAGCCTTTTCCCCCTGCGGTGCTGCGAGCACGCGCTCTCGCTGAACGCTGTGGAACAGCTGCTTCCGGCCCATCTCTCGCTCAATTTCAGGAGAAACAAACGAATATGCCGTTGCTCCCGCCGATCGAGTGTACTGTGCAACGGCGCCTTGCTCTGCTTTCCTCGGCTCGGACGCGGGGACCGGTGCTGGCGGAACGCCTTCCGCTCTCTGACGTGCACAGCATGCGGCATCAGGACGTGCGCGGCACGGTGTCGGCAGGGGCCACGACGGGCGGACTGTGTGGCGCAGGCGACTTCGCTATTCGATACGCTGGTGAAGGAGAACCAGTGGCAGCGTTGTCCGTCGTGCGGGGCTACCGGTGGATCGTACGTATGGTTGCCCGCATATGCAGTGCAGATGCGGAGCGGAGTTTTGCTACTTGTGCGGTGGTGCTTATGCCGGGGGACATGTCTGTGCACGGAGGCAGACCAGACAGCTGCAGAGGTTTAGCGCAGGGAAAATTGTAATTTGAACCCAATTTGTTCTTCCTCTTCGTGAGCACTTGACGGGTGAGCGGGGTCGCTGTCAGTCTCAAGCATCCTGTTCTCAGTACTACTCATCTAGCGCTCCTAAGGCATATGAATTCCCGATAATCCTCGATATCGATTGGCGGAATTCGGCGGTCATGACCACCTGCGAGGACCCTAGATAGAAGCGCAAGCCTCCTCTATGAGCGGGTATCCTAGGATCCGCCCATCTAGGCGCCGGCCTCCCCTCTGGCGGCGCTTAATGGGCTCGCCATCGACAAGGGCGATAAGCAGGCGCTAGCCCACGGTTGCCATGAATAGCGCACTGACCGTCTCGTCACCATTTTCCATGGACCTCGATCGCGCCACCGCGCGGCTGGTCG